ACAAGGTCTTCTTTCCAAGCTTCAGTTTAAATGCTAAAACTCTGTGGGTTGGGGGAAGAAGAAGGAGAGAGAATGGCACTGTTGCCTATCCCCTACTGTGAGATTGAAAAGCAGTACCCGGAAGAACACTAAAAGTTTATTGATGCAACAAGGGTAGGTGGTTGTGTTAGTTTTATTAATGACACAGACTCAGACCTCTTCTTTGTTTAATAGTGCGCACCAGAGACTTCCCTTGGACCACTACATTTTCTATGCTTTATGTCGATAATCCAGTGAGTACACGCTGACCGTATGCAATCTCAGTGTTGGCTTTTCTTGTATTTCTTCTGTTTATTAAGTATATTTGAAAAAAGAGATTTAGTTTCTTTCTTTTTAAAATGGAATTTAATCTATAAAACTGAAACCATTTTGAGACTCAGTTATTCTGCTAGTATGTATCAACCTATCTGAGTTTGGGGATTTTATTGCTGACCTCTATCCTCTCCTCATGCTTAATCTTATAAAATGTTCAGCTCACAGAGTTATGCCACCCAGGATAAGGGATTGGTTTCTTTCTACTGCTGATATGAATTCCACATATTTAGAATTATATATATTCTGAACTTCTCATCTTTCAAATTGAGTTCCAAATAGAAAAAGTCAAACCTGGCCTATCACAGTTATCACAGAGACCAGCATGCCTCCTCATCTTGAAACTAAGCAAGAGATTCTCTTTGGGTTTTTCTGAAATTGCCTCCAAAAGCTACAAAATAGAAGAGTAACTTTTGGGCCAGTTTCTGCACATTTGGCATCTTTTTGCCCCTGACTAATTTCTCTAACTTTTCTCATTTCCTAGATGGTTGGAAACACAAACAAATAAATAGGAAAAAAGTTAGCATTCTTGTTTTAGCGTCTACGTTTTGTCAAACATCTCTTCTTGCCAGTCTTCAATTCCGTATTTAAATATCAAAATTGAGTTAAATGTTCTGTGTTGCTTGGGTGTTTAAAGAAAACAAATAGATGCCTTTGCATCTGTTTAGTGGTGCATTCCTTATAAAATGATTGAAACAAAATAACTAGTAGCTTCTTTGTCTCTTCATTTTCTTCTGTTGTCTATTAACTTCTGGGTATTAGGAAAGATTAATTTAAAATCAGTCATAATTAGTTTATTTTAAAACCTCTTATCTACTGAAGGTAAAATGGCTTACTGGGAATATTTCTTACAAATAAAAGAAAAAATGCACATACAATTATCTTTTATCTTTGCTGTAACAAATTTGTGGGATGTAAATCATGTGCAAAGTGTGAGAGATGAATCAAGGAGACTATGAAAAGAACTAGGTACATCATACTCACAGTTCCCAGAGATAAAGAGGCACAACACGTCATGACACAGAGCCACACAGAAGGCTGCAACCACGGACAAGGTAACAAGTTGGAATTGTAGGAGAAGGTTTATGTAGGGCAAGCATGGTGGGGTTAGCTAGGTTTTGCAGGCTTCCTAGGGATTAGGCATTTTGAGTAATGCTGCAAGGTTGGGAGGGAGGCATACATGTCTTCTTATTTGTTGGGTACCTGTCCTTGGAGCAATTAGGGTAGATGCCTGGTGGCTCAGGAATGGTTGGAGAGTGGACTTCATCAGCTGCTCAAGAAGGGACTGGCCTCCATACCTCCACAGTGGGGCTCAAAACTAGGTCAAGACAGTGTTTAAAGATAATGGTATTGCAGTCTCCAAACTAGAGAGTTCCTTTTGGCGGGACTGAGTAATGTACCCTGCAGGTTTCAGAGAGGAGGAAACGTTGGGTCTTTTGATGCTGTAGCGGGGGTCAGGAAAGGTGAACACTTCCTCCTTAAATAAACATATGGCACGATCCCCACTGCGGAAGCAGGACCACTCAGCGTTGAGGTTTGTGCTCTTTCTTTAGGGCTTTGAAGGGGAAAATAGGTGGAGCACAGCATCCTCCAGGAAGGTCATTAAATGCACATGGGGTGATGGCAGAAATCTGAGGTCAGAGGCTTGGCCTTTGGAACAAGGTCAATTTCCTTCCTTGGTAGGCTCTATTTGAAGGGCTGTGAGGTATGTGCTTCTCTGTGTTTATACCTACTTATTTATTTCACCTCAGGTTGGCACAGGCTTCAGTTTTACTGATGATCCCCGGGGATATGCAGTCAATGAAGATGACGTGGCAAGAAATTTGTACAGGTAAAATGCCTTGGCTCTCTCTTGGTCTTCCTTAGACCGATGTTTTTTTGTGTCTTAATAGAAAAATGTCACCCGATAGTAGAGTTATTATTTAATGTTCCTTGTAGTCCAATTCCTAAAGATTTTTTAAGGATACTTCTACATGGGTGATATACACACACACACACACACACATACACATGCTTGATTATTTTCCAGTTTGTTACAGTCTACATTATCATTTATAGACAAGGATAATTGTGAAAGTAGCCAGCAGAAAAAGTAATAAGAAGAGCTGAAATTTTAAAGCCTAATTTTAATTTGGTGCCTTATAAACTAACCAGAAGGCTGGTGGTTCAAACCCACCAGTCACTCCCAGGAAGGAAGATTGGGCAATCTACTTTTGTAGTGATACTGCCCGGGAAACCCAAGGAGGGGTCGCTATGAATCAGATCTGACTCAATGGCAGTGAGTTTGGTTTGTTTGTTAAGAAACAATGGAAGCAGAGCAGAATTTTTAGCTAAAGATTATTTTCAAACTTTTCAACTGGACTCCTGGGAGTTTCTGCTTGCTTTCCAACTTTAAATTTAACTTTACATTTTACTAGGGGACATGTTTTCAGATTTTGTTTGTTTTCTTTCCCAGAACTCCTCTTTTTGTGGCCTTCAGATGCAACCTTTCATTCTCTCTTGGTTCTCCTTCTTGACTTTTCCAGGCTGAATCCCTACTTTGTTAGCTGGTCACTTCCCTTTCCCTTTACTTGACAAAATTATTCTTTTGCTTAAAAAAAAAATTGAAAGGAAATGTAAAATTCTATGACTGATCAAACAGTGTCCATGTCACTGCTTTCTTTTTCTTACATTTGTTGTAGCTACTTTTAGTACTTTTTTTTTTTTTTAAGTAAGTGACCTTTCTCATTTGGTCAAAATTTTCCAGTGGAGGGGTCGCTATGAGTCAGGTCCGACTCGACAGCACATAACAGCAACAACAACAACAAATTATTCCTAGAAACAACGTCCTGAACTATTTCAGATCACCAGGGCACCAGTTTGTGCCTTATAAGCACCTACTGAAAGGAATCCTAGTAGCCAGAAAGGGTTAACTACCAAGACACACACACACACACACACACACACCACACCCTCCCCAGCACTCATTCTGTTAATTACTTGGTGAGCAAACCCAATCCCAAAGTTGAAGGTGAATCTAAAAGGAGGCCTGTCAGAGCTTTGTCAGAGCTGTTTGATGTCTGACAAAATCTTTCTTTGTTCTGCTTTCTCCCCAAGGCAAATGGCTCTGGAGAGACTAAAGAGAAGCATCTGGGCCTTTCTTCCAGTATCACCTCTCTCTCCCCTCCTGCTGACCCAGAAAAGAATATGGCTTCTATACTTTTATTTACCACGTACCCCTTATTTTAATACTTTTCATTCAGTTCCTGGGAGTGGGGGAGGATGCCTGGGGCCCCACCCTTCTACTTCCAGGTACACTGGCTCCTCAGAGCAGGTTAGCAGACCCTCTTAAGGTTCCCTCTCTCCCCTTAGCTTGCCCACCTCTCGTTTCCCTCCACAGACATAACTGTGACGATTGTCCCCACATGTATACTCAGACACATCTTTCTCATTTAACACTGTGTACTCTCATCTCCGGATCCGGAACCTCTGCCTCCCCCACAACCCTCTTTTGGCTTCAATCCAAACAAGCTCAGTTGTTTAACTAGCAAACACCCAGAGGGCGGAGGTTCTGTATTAAAGAAATGCATGAGCCCCTCTGTGGAGCCAGAGCTTTGCAACGCCCACTTGCGTTTCTGTCTTTCCTTCCCCTCCCCCAGAGACAGTCCCTGCTTCCAGTTGACCCTCTGTATGGATATTTACTGCTGACATGTGGTACATCTCCTCTTGCATGACATGTAAAAGGAACTTATTTCAAAGCATCCATTGTTTATAGCTGTTTTAGTTCTTTTTTGCTTCAGGCTCTTAGAGCTGGAAAATAGCTAATCAAGGGTAGTGCAGAAAACTGATTTCAGCTGTTTCCTTTATAGTTTACAATATTTATTTCCCTTTATGACTGCATTCTTCTCTCCAGCTGTCCAGATGGGTGTCTGGAATAAGAAGGTCGCTTTGAAACCTATAAAAGGGCTACTGCAGGTTTAAAGAGTAGACCTTTCTTTTTCCTTTGAAAACTATCTTTCCTTTTGTCTGAAAATCTCATTCCTTTTGTGCATGGCTGTAAGGAATAGACGCCTATAGGAACATTTAACATTCACACTTATGCAGCTTTTCTTTGTGTGCAGAAATAAACTTTTTTCCTAACAAGATGCTTAATTATTTTTTATTTATTTATTTTGGCTATCTAGAATATTTTCTTGAACTATTATGTTCTCTGGTTTAGGAGGAAAAAAAATTACTAGCTCTGATTTTGTGTAAATTAGCTGGACCCTTCCTTCTCCTACCACTATTTATTGATTGCTTCCTGTGTTAGACAGTGTTCTTGGTGCTGGGAATACAGCAATAAACAACCCCAACATAGTCCCTGCTCTCCTTGTGTTTACAATTTAGTAGTAGCCTAAGATTGCTTTCTTAATGACCAAATGGAAATGCTACTATGGGTGCAAAATGGGAAGTAACATGTATTGCTAAGAAAAGCTTCTTAACAATATGAGTACGAAACAGTTTCATATACAAGAACATTCATTATGTGTGAGGGGCAGAGAGGATCGTGGTTTGGCCAAATGAAATGTAGAATGAACACAGAATGGCTCCTCTTGGAATCCTCCTAGATTCTTGTTGCTGAGCTAATTTCAGTCAAATGTTTAGTGACTGAAGACACATCTTGCTTTGCTTTTGTTGTTGTAGAGCTTTTGCTTATAAAATTTTAGCTTTGATTCTTCTGAATATCCTTGTAGTAGTTATTGTTTTGACTCCATTAGGATGGGCTCTTTGAGTCTACAGTGAAATATCATTTCCACCCACTTTCTCTTACCTGCCCAGACCTACTTTTCTTTTAAAAAAATTAGCTTCCTGTTGCCCTTTCAGGTACCTTTCTGCTACCAGGAAGCTTTTGCTAAAATTCTACTTATCAGACAAGACCTTGGCTCAAGGTCAGCAAGGTTGCAAATGGAATCACCCGGAGAGACATATTTCCTGTGCCATATAGCTCTTTATGAGGATGAATACATGTATACTTGGAGTACACACACACATGCATACACATGTACACACACATGTATGTGTGTATTACATATAATATATTTTAGCCATTCTGCTTCTACAATTTGAAATTTCAGAAAGGCATGATTCAAATTCCTTTTCAAGCACTCTCACCATGTGGTAAGGATAGTCTTTGAAACAGTTAAATTAGCAAATGGCATATGCAAATCTAATTTACTAAATTTACGTTTTTCACTCATCACTCCCCATTAAACCATTTAAGAAACACCTACTGAGGGTCTACTTCCATCAACTAATTTCTTGTTCTGATATTAATGTGAAATTAAGCTCTGTGATAACTTCCTCACGTGGGGATTTACCTTGGAAACTTCAGCTACAAAATCCTGGCATTTTCAAGCTAGAAGCAACCTAGGAGATTTTTTACTCCAACTAGGACTTCCAGCCAGATAAAATACAGAATGCCCCATGACTCTGGAATTTCAAATAAACAATGAGTACTTTTTTTTTAGTATGTGCCTTGCGATATTTGTGACATACATTAAAAAAAAAAAAAAAAGACAAAAAACAAACTTATCTGAAATTCAAGTTTAATTGGGCACATTGTATTTTTACTTTCTAAATCTGGCAACCTTAACAACTCTCCAATACATACTCCAAGAATATAATCTCTAAGCTAAAGCATAAGGCTTCATTGGGATTTTCTATATTAAATTATCTCTTGCCGTTCCAACTAACAAAAAGAGAGTAGTTTTTGCTCTGAAGGTGGGGGAGAGAAGGCTAATGAACTATTTTTATCTTCACTTTAGAGCCCGTTTGTTGCCAGCACAAACATGGAAGCTATATAATGCTGTTTCCCAGATTTGGTTGCTACAAAGGCCACTATCAACAATAAATATAGAAATACACTGAAACTCTATGGTAGTGTCTAATGGTGAATTTTCATGGAGCATTTGAAAATTAAGTTGTGATTCTGATGACCCTGTTTTACCTCTCTGTAACCCTGAGCTCTCTCTTCCTGGTTTTGTGGAGGGCCTCCCTGCCTTTCACCTTTACTGGATGGTTCTCTGCGGCTTTTAGTCCCTCAGCAGGGATCTTCTCAGGCCCGGCATGTGGGTCAACATATTGGCTCTTTGGAGTTTCACAAACTTTAGTTTCCCTTGAAAAATTTTTGATAAGATAGACAATCAGGCAAAAATCTATCCTTTTCTTGCTTATTATGCAATAATTCTTTTCGTCTTTAAATCTATTGTAGCATAGCTCACGTAAGTGGCTGTTGGCATTTTTTAAATAAACGTGATTTTTGGAACCTAGAGGCTACTGTCCACTTACTTTCATCCCTGCTGTCATTTCCTGGTTTTTATTTTGACTATAGTCATTAGACAATTTTTCTGCTCTTTGTTTATAAGCACCCTGGCATTCTGAGAGCTTCATTGCAAATGTTCAGAGTCCCTTAGAAAGTGAGATTAGTAAATAACTAAGGTTCCTATTACCTCACCACAAACTTGGGAAAATGGGGGTTCAAAGGTTTGCAAAAGTCTTCTGAAGAATTGCTATGTAACAATTCTTTAATAGAAACCTGTACCTCATGGGTCCCCTCAAAAGTTAGATGATCTAACTTGGTTACCTAGAGATTTGAAAACATGCCCAGAGTGTTGACCAGTGGCGTCACTAGTGGAGTGTGAGAGGGTGAAGAATGTACCCTCTGACGCTATCAGAGGGGGTGACACCAAAATGACCTCAAGGTCCATGGCAGCTGCAGGTGAACCAGTGCTGTAGGGGGAGGGACAGCCAAGGCAATGGTATCCCTAGGGTTGGTATCACCTGTCACCCAGTGTGGTAACTCACACCTCTGCACCTGTCACCTGCCAATCAGGGTGCAGGCAGGTGGACCACAAGTGCCAGCTATTGGGCAGAGAGAAGTATCTCTGTCTTGGGCAATGGGAGATGGGGGGAGCTGTGGGGAACAGCAGGGGGCAGAGCCAAGAGGGGTGGGCCATGTGTTGTAAAGCTGGGCCCTGCATAAGGGAAGGGGTCAGGGTGGGGCTGAGCCACTCTGCCCATGATGGGGGTTGCACTGGTTGGTCCAGCCCACATGTCTCTCTCTCTCTGTGAGTGTGTGTGTGTGTGTGTGAGATACCGTGAGTTATTGCATTGGGTGGCACTAACCCTCATGGCCACTGGTGTTGATATCCACTTGTTTGAACTTCTTACTATCACAAAGGAACCCACAAGTATTTTCTAACTATCCACAGAGTATGGTATGTTATGTACACAAGACTGAAAAAAAAGACCACATAGGAACTCTGGTCTTATTTAGTAGGACCAGAGACAAATAAGTGTTGTACCTATGAGTGCCACAGATTTAAAACCTATTGCCAAAGGGTTAGATCTGATAGCAGAGTATGAAGTTACTCTAATGCTATGTAATATTTTTGTTGTTCATTTTACAGTGCACTGATACAGTTTTTCCAGTTGTTTCCTGAATATAAAGAGAATAACTTTTATGCCACTGGGGAGGTGAGTCATATTTTTTCATTGTGCTTCAACCATCATCTGGTCTGAAATGTATTTTCATTGCACTTGTAGGTTATTCATTCAATGTGTGTGTGTATGTGTGTGTATGAATATGTTTAATTATGGTGTGTTTGTATATACACACATACACATATATGTTAATATTAATTCTGCCCACTTTCAGAATTCTTTAATTGTCTTCAAGATATCCTTCAAAGCTTTTTATTTTTTTTAATTTCAGGGCTCAGTAAAGGATCATGTATCACAATAGCTTGCCATGGCTTAGTCCCCTGCCTTTGTTGCTACTGTCATTTATGATGATGTTTTTGAAGTATGCAGGTCAGTTGCCTTGTAGAAAGTCTCATATCTGAATTTGCCTGATTGTTTCCTCAATGTTTAGTTTCAGTCAAAACTTTTGGTAAGAACAGACCATACATGATGTTGAGTATTTTCCATTGTACCACATCAGGAGAAATATACTGTAAGTCTGTCCCATTATTGAAGATGCTGAATTTGATCACTTGGTCAGAGTAGTGTCAGCCAGATCTTGTCATTGGAAAGGTACCCTTTTTCCTTTCTAACTAATAAATAATCTGAGACCATGTGAACATTCTGTTACTCCCAAGTCTCGTCACTCAATAGTTTCAACATTCATGGATCATCTTGTGTGAATTAGTTAATACACTCAAACCAAAACCCAAATTCACTATCCTCGAGTTGATTCTGACTCATAGGAATGCCCATTGGGTTTCTGAGGCTGTAAATCTTTATGGAAGTAGATTGCCCCATCTTCCTTCTGCGGAACTGCTGGTGGGTTTGAACCAATGACCTTCTGGTTAGCAGACAAATGCCTTATCCATTATGCCACCAGAGCTTCTGGGGGTTTACAAAATGTAGATTTTCCTAATTTATCTTTCTAAACATATCAGCTGTTATTCTTCTGTATGAAAATCGTTTCCTTATTCTTCCTCTCTGTTACTGACTTTTAAAAATATCACTTTGAACTCATAAATGTTAATCCTCATATAAATGTCAAATAGTTCTTGGTATGTTAAAATTTTGCTATCATTATTATTTTTGATGTCTGTCAACTAAACTCATTGCTGTGGAGTTAGGATCTGACTCATAGCGACCCCTCCTTGGGTTTCTGAGGTGCTATCACTACGGAAGTAGATTACCTAAGCTCCTTATAGCTAACTCCTGTGTCCTTTTGACAGATTCTCAGTAATCAAATGTGTCCCAAAATCATCTTGTACTTTTTTTGCCCCAGTCTGGAATCAGCCATTTCTCCAAGGAAACTTGGTTCATTTTAGTGGGAAATGATATTTAAAAACCAAGATCTAAGTATTAAGTGTGTTCATTGCTACTGCAATGTCTTTTTCTTTTAGTGGTTGTCTGTGAGCAAAGTTAGGAAGCAAAAGGACTTCACAATGATACCTGTAATTCTAATTCAGTACCATAAGATTCTCTTCTTTGTTCTCCATCCTATATTTGTAAACCCCTTCCCCCACAATGAGGACTATAGTTCCCAAAGCATTAATATATTTACTCAGTTGCTCAATCCCATAGTATGCACAAAATGGTTTCAGAATTTCTACATCAGTACCACTACAAACAAGAAACCTGCTAGTTACCTTTAAGATTTCTTGCCTGTAATTCTTTTTATCCCATATGTCATTTTATTGTTATAGTTTTAAGACATCATTGAATTGATTCCAACTCATGGCAATTTTACATGTCATGATGGATTTTAGTCAAAGTATTATGTTTAAAAGTTATGTTAAGTAATTTTGTTTTTCCTGGGTAATTATGTTACAATTTAGGTTAGGTTCATTTTTATTTATTTATTTATTTTTCAATCTTAAGGTTTGTTTTTTCTTTCCATACTTTTAAATTTATTTTTAAAATTATAGCAGCCAATAGTTTGTGAGCACAGGTACAGTTGTAGATGCTAGGGCTGTAATAGTGAACAAACAGACAAAATCCCTGCCTTCATGCATTCTAGAGGGCTAACCTCTGGTGGCATAGTGCCTAAGACATTTGACTGCTAACCAGAAGCATGGCAGTTCAAACCCACCAGCCACTTCTTGGAAGGAAGATTGGGCAATCTACTTCTGTAGAGACTTCTGTAGAGAGATGCCTCAGAAACCCAAGGAGGGGTCCCTATGAGTCAGGGCCAACTTGATGGCAGTGAGTTTGGTTTTTGATTTTTTAACTAGGGAAAAAAAACCTCACAGCTGTTGGGTCAAGTTGATTCCAACTCAGAGTAATCCTGCAGGACAGAATAAAACTGCTGCCGTAGGATTTCCAAGGTTGTAACTGACACATACTTCTTATGTAGGGTGGCTGGTGGATTTGAAACACTGACCTTTCTGTTAGTAAGTGAGTGCTTAACCACTGCACCCCCAGGGCTCCTTTTAGAAGATTGGACAGTGATAAATAAAGAAATAAATATATTCTATAATGTCAAGTCAAGTAGTGATCAGTGTCATGGAGAAAGGTAAAGTAGGGAAAAGGCTGGAGAGTGATAGATGTGCTGTCTTATGTGGGTAAGATGGTCAGGAATGGCCCCTGTGATCAGGTGATAGTTACACAAAGCCCTGAACGATGTGGTGGAGTGATCCCTGCAATGTCTGGGAGAAGAGATTTCCCAGGAGAAGGAACAGCAAGTGCAAAGACTGTGAGCTGAGAACAGGCTTGCTGTGCTCATGGAAAAACATGAAGCAATTGTGGTAGACATTGAGATGGGAGAGGCAGGCAGATCACGTAGGGCCTTGTCGACAATGGCAAAGAGTTAAGATTTTAATTCTAATGTAAGGGAAAGCATTGAAGGATGCAAAGTTTAACAAAAGAGTACTCAGAATGAAATTCAGTGCATATATATGGAGTATCTACTATGTCTGAAATTTTGGACAAGCATGGGGAACTCAGTGATTAATAAGACATTAGTTTTGCCCTAAAACGGAAGGTCTAACAATAATTACAATACTGAAGGAGAAGTACAATTAGAGAAGTAGCTATAAAGATAGAAATAGCACAGAAGAGAGTGAAAACAGCTACTTCTCAAAATGCAATATACAGCAAAGGCCAAGCATAAGAGGTAACAAACTGGGTTTTGTAAGATCAATAAAAGGTGTATTCATCAAGGCTGTTTTACTTGCAAGTGACAAAAGTCCTATTCAAAATGGCTTAGTAAAGCAAGAGTTTTATTGACTCATTTACCACTGAGCTTAGCATCAAGCATGGCTGGATCTGGGTGGTTGAACATTGACATCAGGGTTTTGTCTCTCAGTCTCTTTTAATCTGTTCACTTCTTTGTGCACTTTGCTAGTTTCTTTCTCAGGTAAGTTCTCTTTACCTGGTGTCTCTGCCCCTCTAACACCTTTATACCCCCAGAGCTCTAGACTTATAAGCTCTAGACTTACCAGCTCAACTTCTCTTTCTCAATTATTTCATCCATATTCCCTGAATTTGACCCGTTTGCATCTCATATCCATCCTAGAACCAAGAACTGGGGCCAGTGAGATGGATTATACACATAGGTCAAACTAGTGTCTGGACCCCACCCTAAAGCCCTGTGTGGTGGTTATGTTTGTGTGTCAACTTGGCTGGGCCTGGCTGAGTGGCTGGGCAGCTGGATGTAGTATTCCCAATGATGAGACTGATAATCAACTCCATGGTGGAATCTATTGTGAGCAGCTGAGTAGCTGCCTTTGGGTATGTGGGCTGCTTCCCATATATAAGAAATAGCTTTGTGAATGGTCTCCAGCCTATGGCATGCTTGGACCCTGTGTGTAGCTGTGTCATTGTTCAGCAGCCTGCCATGCTCTGCCAACCTTGGGACTTTCAATGGACTTAAATTAATGGCCTGCCATGTGGTTTGGTAACATCGGGACTGTGCCTTTTTACTTGTCAACCTTGGGTTGTTAGCCTCAGTAGCCAGCAGCTGTCTGAGTG